ATAATAGCCCCTAGCCAGCCAAGGGGTGGCCCACGAAAAAAACAAAACATACATAGAACAGGACACAGTAGGCGAGTGAAGAAGAGAACACAGGTGAGCTATTGACGACAGAAGCGACAATGCCACGGGCGCCCCACTGCCGATAGAAGAAGCGCCGGCGCCTGTCTGACTTAAAACGTTTGAAGAAGATGGGAAGGTGAAACTTCAGACGGGACAGGATATTAGCCAGGACCGCCACAGCGCCGGGACGGGTGTTGCGGAAGCGGAAGTCGTTTCGGGATTGCTAGATACAGAATTTGGACAAGTTTAGGAGATACACAAAGATACGGGGGGGTGGCTACCAACTCATCAGAGTTAAAGCCGAGGAAAACGTGACGAACCATGAGGACAGGACACATAAGGGAGAAACAGAACATAAGAGACTGAAGCCAGGAAAGAACACTATGGGCGAGAGGACAGTAGAAAAACAGATGTTCCATGGACTCCACTGGAGCACCACAGAAACAGGGGAGGAGACTGACAACCCGAAAGAAACCAGACGCTGGGCGGTGTACAAGACGCCATGAGCGATTTTCCAGTTTAGATCGATAACCGTGCGATCAAGATCGAGGAAGGTCAGGGAGCGCCACGTGGCTGACCAATCCAGAGAAGGAAAAGTAAAACTAAATTTATCGACGCAGTGCGGCAGGACAATGTTCTCAGATAGCAAGTAGAGGTAGCAGGGTTTTGTGGACATGTCAGTAACAGGGGTGCAGACAAGCGGACAGGAAGAGCCGAAGACAAGGCAGTTTTTGGACACGGAAAAAGACCCATTGAAACCACGCCAAGCCAGAACCAAGGAATGATAAAAGGGCGGCAAGACTCTGGGATCAGAGGAGAAGGGACGGGAAAACACAACCGGAGGGGGCACACCAAAAGCAGAATGACACCAAAAAGAAAAGAAAGTATACTATTCAGACGGGGAGGAGGTGAGCCTCCTCACCCACTGGCCAAGGAGAGCCACACTTTGTAACGAACATCTACCACAGAGAAACTACCAAAGAGGGGAGGCTGGATCACGGCAGAGCGGGCCACAAGCTCCCGCTTGCCGGACCAGAAAAAAGAAAAAAACTAAACGAGACAGCTCTCTCCCCGCCCAGACGGGCATGTGGACGAGGGATACCACATACCAGACCCGAGCGAGGGCAAGAGCATTGATCACCAGGGCCTTGCCGCGAAAGGACAAAGAACGAGAGCGCCAATATTTGAGAACACGATCCACCGCATCGATACGAGGACGCCAATTCGCCTCTTCCAAGTTCCCATGTCCAACAAAAACACCCAAGATCTTCAGCTTAGAGGGTGACCAGTCTAGGTCAACTGGGTGGTCAGTCCGACCAACCCATTGGCCCAAACAAAGACCCTTACACTTTCCCTGGTTCAGCTTTGCACCAGAGGCCAACTCAGAAAGGGCGTACACTTCGAAAACGGCCTTTATAGCTTCGTCAGATGACAGAACGAGCAAGATGTCGTCCACATACTGGGAGATAGGTGATAGTGGAGGGTAACCAGGTAAGGAAAGGCCAGAAATTCGCGGATCAGCACGGATATTGGCTGCCGTGAACGTAAAGTAATGGGGACAGGGGACACCCCTGTCGAACACCCCACGAAAGGCCAAAGAAGGGGGAAAGGTAACCATTGACGTTTACGGTGCTCTGAACCCGATGGTAGAACAAAGGAACCCAGGCAATAAAGGAGGGACCGAAGCCCATAGCGGAGAGAGTGGCTGTCATGAACCCCAATCGACCCGATCAAAGGCCTTTTCCTGGTCTAAGGACAAGATAGCTGCAGGAATCCCAGTGGACATGGTATAATATACAACGTCGCGGACGAGGGCAACGTTTTCGCCAATAAACCTGCCGGGTACGCCACAAGTCTGATCCTTACATACTACCAAATGGATTACCTTCAAGAGCCGACCAGCAATGGCTCGAGACGCTATTTTATAATCTACATTTAGGAGGGTGATTGGCCGCCAGTTTCGTGGATCTAGGCAGTCACCCTTCTTAAAAGCTAGTTTTATGACCCCTCTAGGCAGAGAAAAGGGAAGAGAACAAGAATGTAAACAGGCGTTGAGGACCGAAACTAGAGCCCGACCGAGAACATCCCAGAACCTGAGATAGAACTCGGCCAGGAACCCATCGACACCAGGGGCTTTGTTCTTTGCCAACCCTTTAAGAGCCTCAGAGCACTCCTCCGCAGTGAGGAGGCCCTCGCACACACGAGCCTGGTCCAAAGAAAGGGAAGACGAAAGGTTGGTTAATAGGGAAGCTTGGGCCAGGGGGCCAGTCGGAGCAGCAGAGAACAGATCAGAGTAAAAGGAATTGAGAGTAACACACAAGTCCTCTGGAGAGGAGACAATGGAGCCTCCGCTCGTCCTCGATGCAGGGGTCCAAAGATCCACCCCACGCTTCTTTTCAAGACGGAAAAAGTATGCCGTGGAGAGTTCCCCCTCCTCCACCCACCTGACTCGAGATCGAACCTGGGCACCTTGGGCTGTTTCACGGTCCAAGGCCGCAAGTGCTGCAAGGGCCGACTGATAAGGTGCAACAACTGAAACCATTCCAGTGTCCATTTTGGCCTTCAAGTGATCGATGACTTGGACAAGCATATCCCGGTTGCGTTTTTTAGCAGAGGTTCTTGCCTGACAGTAGTTGATGGTTAACCCTTTTAAGCGGCTTTTGCCGTCATCCCACCATTTCTGGATAGAGGAGAAGGCCCTTCTAGACACCTGCCAAGATAGCCAAAGTCTGAAACCAGCTTGACGTACTCTGCTTCTTTCGGGATGGCCGTGTTGAATTTCCATAAGCCAGGGCCGGGAGGAATGGAATCGGGGATTGAGAGCGAGGTAATAACCCCACAATGATCAGAAAAAGGGCAGGGGAGCACAGAACACGACATGACAGATGGCACCCAGGAAAGGGGGATGCCTATCAAGTCTATGCGAGAAGTCAAGGAACCATTCCATTTCGTCCAGGTAAGCCCAGGGGTCAGTGGATGTAGATAACGAAAAATGTCCAATACACAACAAGCATTGAACAAGCTTTGGAGAGAAACTGAGCTCTCCTGGGACTGATCAGAAGGATCGAATCCCCGCCTATCCAAAACACGATCAAACACGGGATTAAAATCACCACACAAGATTGTGGGGACAGTAGGGTCCACTCGGGGGTGGATATTGTCCAAAAAAAGGTCTCGTGCAGGATTGCGATTCGGCGCGTACAAACAAACCACACGGAAGGACTTGGACAGGAAAGAGAATTCACATTGAAGAAGACGACCATTAGTGTCACACCAAGAATTGACTAAAGATAGGGTGGGGCGAAAGAGGATTATGCACCCACAAGAATGGATAGAACCAGGCGAACACACAGAGCCAAAACCAGAAGACAGGAACCAAGATGAGCACTCCTGGCAGATATGCAATATGTTTCCTGAAGACAGACCAAATTCACATTGACATGGAGAGATCGCAACCACTGCACAATACCTTCGCGCTTGGGCCGGTCTCTAATACCTTTGGCATTCAACGTAATTACCGTTAGAGTCATGAGGAAAAGGTGAAAGACCTCCATGGATGCCAGGGCTAAGGCTTTCCCTTCCTTTTGGGAAGATTGGACACGGCCTTGGACCGCTTAGAAGTGGCACTGGACAACTGAGCGGAGGTCGGGATCATCCCTCGCTTAGGAGCTTTACCAGGACGCCCTCTGGTGACGGTTTGGAAATTGTCGGAAGACACACTCCGCGCAAGGGGGAGGGGAACTCAGAGATAACTGGGGACTCAGAGCCCTGAACAGAGGTAGAGTCATGTGAACTAAATTCAGTAATATCTTAATCGTTATTTTCCACTATAGTACTATTGCTTTCATTAATTAGTTGACTGGTACTTTGACCAGGATTACTATTAACTTCTTTAACTGAGGCATCAAGTTGTTTACTAATACATTCGGTACTTACTTCATTACTTACTTCAATATCTACTTCATTACGTACTTCATTATTTACTTCATTATTAACTTCGTTGTTTGCTTCACTATTGGCTTCATTAATGACGGTGATGACCGTTTCACTAATAGTTAGATCTTCGACAACAGCATTGTCCTCAATAGTAATTGAGGGAATGGGAGCCCTCACTGCATTAACCGAGGGGGTGGCCGCATTCCCAGCCGAAATTGGCGGGAAATCAGCCGTCGGGGGAGAAGCACTGGCTCCTGAGGGCACAGGCCCCCAGGCATTACCATTGTGACGGGAAGGGCAGTTGTGAGCCCAGTGACCGGTTTCACCACATCTTATGCACTTTCCGTTATATTGACAATCGGCTGCTTTATGGTCCTTAACTTTACAGATTGAACAAAACGGTTTTATGCCACGGTACTAGATGCGAACGGGATACCCGTCGATGGTGACTTCAGCTGGGATGGGCTTCTCGAGAGACATTGTAAGAATGCGTGAACCGGTGAGGAGATCAGGTCTCCCCATAAACGATTGGTGCTTGCAAAAGAAAACTTTGCCGAATTGCCGAAAATCGTCGCACAGAATTTCGTCATCCCCTTCGGCAGGGTAATGATGGATGTAGACTAAAGAATGAGGCCGATCTGAATTTGTGACACTGCAGTCGTCACCATTAATATTCAATAGGCCACGCTCGACAAGACTATCCTTATCGTCCGGATCTTTAAAGGTGAGGCCTCTTGGTACGAATTGGATGGCGGACAATTTCTCAAAATCGACTACCTTTTCCAACTTGGAGAGCACTTCCGGCCTTGGAAAGACCGTAATCGCCGGCGTGGCGTGCACGACGCACGTTCTGGCGCAAACCAACACCATAGCGCAAGCAAAAGGCCCAGAGGGCCTGAAAATTTTGCAAAGGATCCGGAGTGCAAGGCAAGACTGGCTGGCTACTTGTATGAAATGTAAAAGAGTGGGGCATTTTGCCAAAGTTTGCAAAACGAAGGAAGACGATGCTAATAGACCCAGGAAAGGGAAATATACGCCAAGTCACCAAAGATGATGATTTCGCCTTCACCTTACAGTCTAATGGAAGAGATATTCCCACCGTAGACATTGAGCTAGGAGGTGTTCGACTGGAAGGAGTTCTAGTCGACTCTGGCTCCACTTGCAATGTTATTGACAGAGCGACATGGGAGACGCTTAAGGAGAAGAAAGTGAAATGTGTTTCAAGAAAATCCAACAGAAAGCTGTATTCTTATGGATCCAATGAGCCACTTGCTACTGATGGTGAGTTTGAAACTGAACTTTGTTATTAGGATAAACGTTGCCATGTGTGTTTTATTGTTGTGGAGGAGAAAGCAAGGGCAATACTTAGCAGGGAGACCTCAGAGGAGCTGGCAATACTGAAACTTGAAATTAATGCCATGAAGAAGAAAACCAGCTAAGGGATTTTCCTGAGTGTTTTGAGGGAGTGGGAAAACTTAAGGGTTTTCTAGCAAAGCTCCACGTTGACACCTCAGTTAAACCTGTTGCACAGAAGTTGAGACCCCCACCTTATGGGTTAAGGGAGAAAATAGAACCGAAACTCAAGGAACTAGTGAACTGTGATATTATCGAACCAGTTGAAGGCCCCACTCCATGGGCAAGCCCGGTCGTGGTGGTTCCCAAACCCTCGGGGGACATCAGACTCTGCGTAAACATGAGAAAAGCCAAGGAGGCTATCGTAAGGGGACGTCATCCCATTCCCACAGTTGATGAAATACTCTATCAACTGAATGGAAGCAAGGTGTTCAGCAAATTAGACCTCAAATGGGGATTTCATCAGTTTGAATTGGAACAACAGTCGAGAGTTATTACCACATTCATTACTCACAAGGGGTTGTATAGGTATAACCGCTTGATGTTCGGAATCAGTTCTGCTCCGGAGCTTTAACAGCACACCATTCAACAAGTGCTGGTTGGATGTGAGGATGCCTACAATATCCACGATGATATAATAATCCATGGTCGTACGGTTGAAGAACATGACAGCAGGTTGCAAAAGACCATTGAGTGTATTAGTGACAAAGGACTGACCCTCAATCCGGAAAAGTGTGTATTTAGAATGCCACAACTCACCTTCATGGGATATCTGCTATCAAGGAAAGGTATCGGCCCAACAGAGTCACGTGTTGACGCAGTAGTCTGCGCTAAGGAACCCACAAACGCAGAAGAAGCGAAAAGTAAGCTGGGACGGGCAGAAAAATTGGCATATTTAGACAGAAATGCAGAAGCAACCAAGCTAATTACAGATGCAAGCCCGGTAGGCCTTGGGGCAATGCTTACACAGGTCCAGGAGGGACAAGAGCGAGTAATCGCATATGCTAGTCGTGCCTGAACAGGAGTTGAACGCAGATACTCACAAACAGGAAGAGAGATATTGGGACTGGTGTGGGGGATGCGCGAGGTTTCACATGTACCTGTATGGGATGGAGTTCATATTGCTGACAGACCACAAGCCTCTAGAAACTATATACTCGACTAGTTACCGCAATTCGACTCGGATAGAGCGTTGGGTACTTCGCCTTCAGCCATACCGGTTTCGGGTACAGTACGTACCAGGTAAACAGAACATTGCTGACTCTCTTTCACGACTTGTTGATAAGGAAGAGTTGAGTGAGGAATTTATTCGCTTTGTGGCAGAAACATCAGCACCAGGAGCAATACCCATCAAAGAAACTGAGAGACAATCAATTACCGACCCAGAAATTTCACAACTACAAGAGTGCATCTCAACAGGAGACTGGGACAAAGCCGCGCCACAGTATAAACAGGTCAGAAATGAATTCTCTTCCCTTGGAAAGTTAGTATTAAGGGTAACGAGGTTGCTAATTCCACGAAGACCACGTGAAAGAGTACTAGACTTAGCACATGAGGGTCATCAGGGGCTGGTAAAAACCAAACAGAGACTTCGTACAAAGGTTTGGTGGGCTGAAATTGATAAACAAGTGGAAAACCGGTGTAAGACCTGCCATGACTGCCAACTTGTTGGACTGCCTACACCACCAGAGCCCTTACGGCATACAGAGTTTCCAAGTCAACCCTGGATTGACCTAGCCGCAGACTTAATGGTACCCCTACCGTCGGGGGAATATGTACTGGTCGTGGTTAATTATTATAGCCGATATTTCGAAGTGGACATGCTGACGTCCGTGACATCCACTAAAGTCATTGAGAGTTTGGATAAGATTTTCTGTACCCATGGGTTACCACAGTCGTTGAACACTGACAACGGTTCACAGTTTGTGTCCGATAAATTTGAACGTTTCCTGGAAACAAATGATATAGAGCACCGCACCTCGACCCCCCTATGGCTTTAGGCAAATGGGGAGGTTGAAAGACAGAACAGAAGCCCTTAAGATTACTAAAAGCCCTTAAGATTACTAAAAGCTGAAAAAAAGAATATCTGGACCGAGATGCGAAAGTTCTTAACAGCCTATAGAACTCACCTCACACCATACAGGCGTCACAAAATACGTTTTGATCCTCCGTTTTACCCATAATACTACTAAAAAAAAGCAATGCAGTTTAGAATATATCCATGCAAAAATGATTCAAATGTCTCTGCGCTTCAAATTCACAATGAAAAATGTCAACTGGGTTCCTAAGATAACCCTTTTCCCTATACTGTTTGCTATCTTGTGTGTTAAGAGCGATTGTTTTTGTACCATAAAGGCTATAGATTGCAAATGCCGTCGACCCTGCTCTGCGTTTAGTCAGTAGTACATTTGATCATGTTGTTCTTTTAAAAGCACAACCCGTGAAAAAGCATGGGAGGAGGCCGAGCAAGGGGCGCGTTAAAGTGCAGCGGAGGCTGGAGTTGACGAATAAACCTTTAAAGTTATCTACGCCCTTTCAACCAATGACAGCGAACGTTATATCCGAACTTTATTATAATACTTAATAAAAAGTTGAACCTGCATGTATAAGGCATTTCAGTACAATTCAAATAGTTCTTTATGTACACGGCAGCTCCAGAGGTCCACTCGGGTGATAGGTTTCATCTCAGTCTGAAACTAGCTTGTTTCTTCTTGAGATCAGTCCTTATGATAATACAGTGACTTTTATTCCGTAGTTGTCATTTCTTTGTTTTCCACGTTATATTGACGAATGATAGATGTTCTGAATGTTTCTCCTAGTGCAAAAAGTAATAATGAATAGTCCTAGCTTATTCGCGAAGATCAGTTTTTACTCTTTTCCTGAGCTTTTTCTCTTTTAACCATGGGAGAACAAAAACATTCTGGACGGAACGGAATTAACAATCGTGAAACGTTTGAAACCTCGCTAGACTTGCGCGTGCACTATTTTATCAGGTAGAATGATTAAGAGTGACGTTAACGGTAAATGGAAAAAAATTGAACATGCTGTGCAGTCCTACTCTATATGTTTTTTGCCATTCATGAACATTATGGAGACATCAATACGCCACTTTCTTTTGCTTTTCACTGTACCAACTGTGTGCAGGTTGAAAAATTGCTTAAAGAAGTTAATGTGAGCAAGTCGAGTGGTCACGACATGATATACCGCCACGACTAATCAAAGCACTGGAGGCTGCGATAGCTGAGCCCATTGCTAATATATTTAATGCCTCAATTGCTCAAGTTTGCTACCTGAGTGTATGGAAAATGGGGCAGGTGACGCAGCTGTTTAAGAAGAGTGATGAATTTAAAAAAGAAAACTATAGGCCTGTCACAGTCCTACCTGTACTCAAAAATATATATGAGAGGCTGCGAGTAGCACAGCAGGGAGACTTTTATCAAGCGATTCTGTCGGATTCCATCAGCTCTTACAGAAGGTTCTACAGTTGCGAGACGGCGTTGTTAAAGTTAATTGAGGACTGGATGGCTACGCTTGATAAAGGGGAATCAGTTGCGGTAGTCTCAATGGATCTTTCTAAGGCTTTCGATGTTATTCAACACAATCTACTTTTAGCAAAACTCAATGCTTCTGGTGTGGGAGAGAGAAGTTCAGCGCTCTTCGAGGATTATTTGTCGGGGAGACAGCAGAGAGTCAAGATTGGGGACACCTTTTTCAATTGGAAAGGTGTTAAAAGAGGGGTTCCGCGGGGGAGTGTTTTGGGGCCTGTGTTTTTTAATATATTCATCAACGACTTGTTTTACTCGGTTACGCAAGGTAAACTTCACACATATGCGGACGATCATCAGTTATACTCTTCCAATGTCGACCCAGTAGCTCTAGAGAACTGTATTTGCCGTGAACTGAGAATTTGAAATAAGTGGTATCGCAGGATTGAAACGATTATAAATGAGACAAAACACCAGGCTATAGTCTTGGGAAAAACAGGCGACTCCTTCTCTTTTCCATTAAAAGATTCTGTACATATATTTGGAATAAATATTGACAATAGGTTGGGTTTTGATAATTATATATCAACTATTTGTAAGAAGATAAATGGCCAGTTCAATGTAATGCTAAGATTTCGTAAACGTATCTCCAAAGATACTCTAGTAAGATTATATAAGGCTTTTATTATGCCACATTTTAACTATTGTTCGTCTGTGTGGCACTTTTGTGGTGAGCGTAGTACTGAGACGATAGATACTTTAAACAAGCGAATTCTTAGATTTATCTTGCAGAATTATAATTCTCTATAGGACTCTCCACTTAGCAAAGTTAACTCCAAATCTCTATTTAAAAGACGCCTTCAGACTTTCTTAATTATATTGTACACGAGCTTGTTTTTTGCCTGCTATCCAAGCTATCTAAGGAATATGTTTAGTTTCTGGTCTGTATCCTATAGTCTACGCGGAAATATATTTTTTCTCTATCGTCTACAAAAACTAGCACTTATGGTCTACACTCCTTTTCATATATGGCTTCAAAACTATGGAACTCTCTTCCGAATTCTTTTAGGACGTCTGACTTTCCTAATTTCAAGCGTAAGATTCTACAGTACGACTCTTTTTCATAGTTAAATTTTAGAATGTTACAATTTTACATTTTACATTTTAGTAGTATTTAGAATTATACTTGTAACTCGAAGGTACTAGCTTATCTTTAGCTACTCTAAATTCGAGGTTAAATGAAGTATATGTATGTATGTTGGATGGTAGAAAAAGGTATAACTTTTCCTTCAGTTTCTTTCATGTATAATTCATTTGCTATTTGGAGTTATTTCTGAAAATTTGAGAGAAAGCATCGAATACTTAAGTGTGATGAAGTATTGGTATTTAGGAGAAGCACCTTTCAACACTTAGTACAACCCTCTTAAAATTATAGACATACTTCAGTAGTGGCAAGATGTTATATTCTCTTGGCTGAGGTAAACTGAGCTGAGTTGAGGTAAGGTAAGATATACCTAGGTCATTTGGTAAGTTTTCACTTCTTTTACTTATTTAGATAAACCTATCCAAATCCTCGTTAAGGCCATCAAAATGCTTTTTCCAATCAGTATTTCAATCAGTATTTTATTGTAATCAGACATGAAATGACATTTAGCATAATGACGCACTATCCACAAATAGCAGAGCTAGTCTCGGTGGGTAGTGTGTGGTCGCTAAAACATCTAAAATGAAATTCGGCTCAACAAAAGATTCAATAAACAAAATATTTGCACTCAAATAGAATTTTAATGCCTTCTCTCTTTGACCCGGGTTAATTTCACAATCAAAGGAGACTGGGTTTGGGTCAGGGGTCAATGGCCATTACGCTTGACCCCCTCTGAGTGTTTTTACAAGTCACCTTAAGAATGGCTGCCTGTAGGGATCGAGAATCGTCCGTCAGCGACCATTTTGGTGAATTGCTCATATTTTGCCCAACGATACCCTTTGTTAAACTGTTTTCAAAAATCAAGTTTAAAAGTTCCGACGAGTGTTAATTTTTCAGAAATTTGCGAAAATTTGAAAACGCGGTTTAAGTGCGGTTTTCCGCCTG